GCTTCCTTCCCCTTCTGAGATCTGATTTACTTTGTGAAATGATCAGCACAAATTAATATATGTATCACCTCACACAGTTTTCTTTTTCTTTTTGTAGTGAGAACACTAAAGACACAGCTTCTTAGCAAAATTCAAGTATATGATACAGTGTTAACTTAGTGACCATGCTGTACCTTAGACTTCCAGAACTTATTTATCTTGCATGACTGAAACTTTGTACTTTTTGTCCAATATCTCTTTATTTCTCCCATCCTGCAGATTCCAGACATACTATTCCATTCTCTGCTGCTACAGGTTTGATTACTAGACCATTTTATGAGTTTTGAATGAGATGAAGYAGTATTTTTGTTTTTGAACCTGGTGTATTTCACTTAGCATAATGCCCTCAATTTTCATACATGCTTTGCAAATGGCATGATTTCCTTTTTTTTTAGGTTTGAATACTCTTACTCTATACTTTCTTTACCCATTTATTCCTTGATAAATGTCTGTATCTTGGTTATTGTGAAATAATGCTGCAATAAATAGGGAGGGCCGGTATCTCTCTGAAATATTGACATTACCTCCTTTGACTTTCTAGTTAGAGGTGATATTGCTRGATTATATGGTACTTCTATTTTTTGAGGAATTTCTAGGATGTTTTCCATAAMGGCTATACCAATTTACATTCCAATCAACAGCATACAAGTGTTCTTTTTTCTATAACCTCATCAACACATGTAATCTTTTATCTTTTTGTTCTTAGCCATCCTAATTGTTGTGATAGCTCATTGTGATTTTGACTTTAATTTCCCTGATGATTAGTGATGTGGAATAACTTTTCATGTATCAATTGGCAATTTGTGTATTAACTTTTGAGAAATGTATTTTCAAGTTATTTGCTCATATTTATTTCTTATATACTTTGAAAATTAACCCCTTATTAGATATGGTTTGCTAATATTTTTATCCCATTCTGTAGTTTATTTTTACATGGCTGGTTGTTTATGTTGCTTGCAAGAAGGTTTTTAGTTGGATGTTCTCCCACTTGTCTAATTTTGCTTTTGTTGTCTCTACTTTTGTTGTATTTTCTACAAAAACCAATGCCAAACCAATGCTAAGAAGCTTTTTCCTATTTTCCTCTTAAAATTTTATGACATAGGGTCATTTATTTCCTACTATTTAACTGAAATTTTGTGTCCTTTGACCAACATTTCTCTATGACCCTTTCCCTGCCTTTGAACCACCCTTTCAACAACCATTACACTCTCTACTTGAATGGATGCAACTTCTCTAAGTTCCATACAAGTGAGGTCAGGTGGTATGTACCTTTTTGTGCCTCTCTTTGTTTCACTTTAGCTTAAAGTTCTGCAGGTTCATGTATGTGGTTGCAAATGACAAGATTTCCTCGCTTTTATGGATGATGTTATTCTGGTGTGTGCATTTCCCATATTTTCTGCATCCATTTATCCATTGATGAACACTTGGTTTGATTCCATCCCTCAACTTCATTTCTTTTGGATATACACACAGTAGTACATCCACTTTCAGTTCTTAAATGAAAGTTTCAAATCTATCTTGAGTTGATTTTAGCCACTCTTCTGCCTGTGGATATCCAGTTCTTCTGACATTATTGTTAACAAGGCCATTTTGTCCCTATTGTGTGTTCTTGGCACTGTTATCCAAGCTGATTGACTATTAAAGCATGGATTTATTTCTGGTTGCTCTTCTGTTCCATGAGTTTAGATGCCTGCTTTCACAAAATTATCATACTGTTTTAATCACTGTAGCTTTGTAACATTTTAAATCAGGATGTGTGATACCTTGACCTTTGTTCTTGCTCAAGATTGGTTTGGTTTTTCAGTGTCTTTTGAGGTCCTGTATAAATTTTAGAATTTTTCTTTCTGTTTACTTAGGATGTCATTGTCATAGGCATTTGAAAGCCATGTATAAAACAATGGTACGTGTTTATCTAAATGAGTTTTTGTTTGCCACAAATCCTAGTTTTACAGAGAACTCTGATTACTTTTTAAAAATTAGGGTTTGGAGAAATAAAGAAATGAATAGGTTAATCTCCTCACCCTTAAACTKCTATATAGAATATTATAGGCCTGAATCTGTTATTACCTTGCTCTCAAGTAATAAGCTTTATATACTCTTTATATTAGAAGTAAATTCTATATTAAATTTAGACAAATGCTATAATTTATAGGAACAATTAGGTTGACATTTTTAGTGCTCTTCATCAACCTGTGTCAGCGCTCACCATCCAACATTGTTTCCTGCTTCTCAGTTGAACAAAATAACTATTTTTATTGCAAAGATCCCTGAAACCTACAATCTCTAGTATTCTTTCTGTGGATCTTTCTACTTGTAGGATCATCTTTATTTGTTCTGTCAACCTTTTGCCAACTCTCTAATGGTCAGYTTGTGATCTCTAGGAAGGCTTCATACGTGTTTCTCTTGAATTTTCAAAGCTTTGTTCTTTCTTGATTGACATGTAGTTTTTAATTTAATATTATAGATATGGACTTCACTACTGATACAAATTACTAAGATCCAATTTTTAAAATATATATTATTATCTTTAGTTGTATTTATTATTGTGAATATTTGTTATTGCTCTGAATTAGTCATCTTAAAGTAATGTGTCATTATTAAATTTGTTTTTCCAAATCTAAGAGCAGTGAGTTCAGTAGCCATCTATGCCCAGGTATATCTACAATGATAAGTACATATATATGCCTGTGTGTGTGTATATGTGTATGTGTGTGTGTGTGTGTGTGTGTGTGTGTATATATATAGCCTATGGCCAATACATATGTATAGAATGAAGAAATGCTATTTCTTCTCAATGTTCCACTGAGAACCCAATAGAGTACTAGTTTTTATATGTATATTATCCTGTTTCATCCAGTTGAGGGAAAAAAATGTATGTGAAGATGGAAATCATCATATGAGGAAATTATGATTCTAAGAAACATTATAATTATCAAAGCTGTTATTTGTTCAGGTCTTTCTTCATTGCATATGAGTACTTTAGTAAACCCATAAATGAAAGACTGAAAGAATAAAGTCATAATGAATTTGTAAAATATAACCCTTAAGTCCCTTGCTGTAATGTGCTTCCTAGGGTGACCCTAAGAATGACTCCTGGATCTTTGCCCTGGCCGTGCTTCTCAGCAGCACCTTTGTCTACAACAGCATGGGCACCATCRAYCARCMKGCCCTGGACCAGCTGTAGTATCCTTCCAGGAACTCAACCACCCTGTCATTGAGTTTAGGGGAATGAATATTGAGTCATTATCTTTTGCCCTGTCAATTAGTAGTTTCTAGTGAAGCAGTGAGCACCTATGGCAAAAGAGGCTGTTTATAAGAAATTTTTAATAGGGAAACACGGAAATGGTGTTTTTTCCTCAGCCAAGACCTAGTTATGTAACAGAGCTGACAGAATTAATCAGGACAAAGTCCTCCTCAGATCCTGATGAAATAGAAGATTGCACAGAGTTTGTGAGTTTCTTTCCAGACTTTGTCTGGACTGTCCGGGATTTCACCCTGGAACTGAAGTTTGATGGTCACCTCATCACAGAAGACCAGTACCTGGAGAATGCCTTGAAGCTGATTAAAGGTACCAGAGTGTGGCTCAGGAGTGGGTGGGATCACTGAAAACTGCCCATCATTTCTGGGGTTCTATTGGTATTTGAAACTGAACTGAGGTCTGTAGAAATGGTGAGTGGAGTGTAGGTTGAAAAGCTCTAGGAACTGATGTTTACTTAAGAAATGTAAGGCCTAAAGTACAATGAAATTATTCAAAACCAAGTTCTTTTTAACAATTTTTACTTTAGTTTCCTGATTACAATGGAGGCTAAAACTTCCTAGTGACCAGACACTGCTGTATCCTCTTTTGCATCTGCTTTCCTCTGTTTAGTAGAACAAATGGCCTCAAAATTGTTAGACATGAAATTATAATCCAAAGCCCATCTCATGGAAAAAATACATATCTCACACAGATATTCTTTCAAAAATATAATTTAAAAATATTAGTGTATTTATTTCATTCATATGAAAACCTTTGTAATCTGGGTGTGGCATCTGTAATACTTGGTACTCTGGAGTACAGARCAGGAGAGCATCAAGTTCAAGTTTAATGAGATCTGTCTCAAAATAAAAAATAAAAAAGGCTGAGAATATAACTCACTGGTAGTGAGCCCTGCCTAGAGCAGCAGGATCTCAAGTTTGAGGGAAATGTGGGCAATTTAGCAAGATTGAATCTTTTTAAAAAAATATTTATTTATTTTTTAGGTGTAGATGGACACACACAATGCCTTTATTTTTATGTGGTGCTGAGGATTGAACCCGGGTCCAGCCTGTGCTACTCGAGCGCTCTACCACTGAGCCACAATCCCAGCCCCAAGATTGAATCTTAAAACAAAAACTAAAAAGATTTGGGGATGTAGCTCACTAGAGTGGCTCTGCGTTCACTTCCCAGTACTCTCAGTCCCATACCTTTATGTTCTAAATAAGCCTCAAGAAGCATGAGTCTCTTTCATTTATTCCTTTCCAACATTTATTATGATTATCAGAACACTCATTTTACTTTATATATGATGGCTTTATCTTAATTMCAATATATTTACTCATGTTAGAATTTCAAAATGTCTTAATTTGTATATATATTGCTTACATGTAAATTATTTACATGAGTGCATAGCTAAAGAGATCTTTCAGGAAATTCTAATTCTGATTTTATTTTATTCTTTTATGCTTTGATTTCTCTATGCTTTCTAAAAACATTTATTAAAAAACTGGTAGGCAGAAAAGCTTTGTCTCAAATCTTAAAATCACATTCTGTTTACTTTTGGTCTTTGGAGTTTTTTGGTAAAAATAGCTAACACTGTGTGAAGTTATTTAAAAAATATAAACTAGAATATATATATTTGAGGTTTACATCCCAATATTATGGGATGCAGAGAGTAGGGTGATTAATGCAGTGAAGCCAATAATATATCTGTCATCTCTTATAGTTACAAAAAAACTTTATTTCCCTGTCCCAAGACAATTTCTATTGTATTCTTTGTTTTCCCCATCCCTCAGGGAGGAGCCACAAAGTTTCAATGTTCAATCAGCCCAGGGAATGCATTAGGAATTTCTTTCCAAAACGGAAGTGTTTTGTCTTTGACCGGCCAACAAATAACAAAGAACACCTTGCCCATATTGAGAGTGTCTCAGAAGACCAACTGGATCCTAAATTCCAGGAACAAACAAATAGTTTCAGTTCTTACATCTTCACCCAGGCAAAGATCAAGACACTCAGAGAGGGRATTGTGGTTACTGGCAATCGTGAGTCTTTTCATATTTCTGTGTTGACTAATACATGTTGAATATACTATACAATGTGTTCCCATTAGTTTTGTTTGATTCTATGTATAACTGTCGTAATGTATATTCATAATTGAAGAAATGTGTACACTTTTTAATCAAATTCTTGGTAGGGTTTATAAACCTTCTGAAAAATTGTGCACTTTGTTACTGGTGTCTGTGGCTTCCACATGTCTGAAAAATCCTCCATTTATAATAAAATCACGAACAGGGTATTAAAAACAGATAAATACTATTTTTTAGGGGAATTCTTATATGTTAAGTGTTGTTTGCAAGGAGAATATGATGTGTATTCTGGAAATTTATAGTAGTTCATATATAAGTACTGGTTTGTAAATACCTGAAAATCCTTTGAAAGTTTTGGCAATAAATATAATCTGAYATACCTTTCCTCATTGGTCAACCTATGTAATGTGTTTTCCTTTGACTTTTAATTGAGACGTTATGTTTTTCATATACACTTAATATATTACAGGGAGGTGGATAGTTAACATTTTAAATACTGTGGCCTAGAGAACCATAAAACTGAGGTCAATAGTAACACCAAAGTGATGATAGTAGAAAGAGGTAGGCATGTGTGTTTTTATGTGTATGAKGTTTTAGAAATATTGTCTTAGAATCTTGGATCTTATTGAGTTATAGATTTCAATTTATCCCCTAAAATTTCTGGCTTCCTCAGGCCTGGGGACTCTGGTGGTGACCTATGTAGATACCATCGCTAGTGGATCAGTGCCTTGTTTGGAGAATGCGGTGACTACTCTGGCCCAGCGTGAGAACTTAGCAGCTGTGCAGAAGGCAGCTGACCACTACAGTGAGCAGATGGCCCAGCGGGTGCAGTTCCCCACAGACACACTCCAGGAGCTGCTGGAGGCACACGCAGCCTGTGAGAAGGAAGCCATCACAGTCTTCATGGAGCACTCCTTCAAGGATGAAAATCAGGAGTTCCAAAAGGAACTGGTGGTAATTGTCTCAGTTATTACCTTTTCTGGTAGTTCCCTTGAAAATGAAGCATACAGGTGCCTTTATGGACCTCAGGGTTCCTCTCTCTAATTCAAGGATAAAGCACTTTGGATTCTCATGAGGAATACAGTTCCCAATGACCATATATCCCTCTTTGCCCCTTSCCCCAAACTTGGGGCACATTATCCAGAAATGTCTCAGATGACTAAAGGAAAACCCAAATAGATATCTTCTGTAATATCCTGACGATTGAAGCTAAATTGGTATAGATATCCCTCTGAATGATTTAATGGATACTTGTTAATCCTTCTATGGGTGATAAGCCAGCTTGGAATATTCACAAGTCACCCCCATACTGTTTCTTCTTCTGTGCACACTCTCCTTTTCCTAGGAATCAGTTTCTCTCACCAGACCCTCTTTCCACGTTGCTGTTCATCTTATGTTACTCCTTGTATCATTGCATCATTGAAGATGGAATCACAGGACTTCACAGCTGCAAGACACCACAGAATTTCTGGAATGCAATCCCTTCACCTCAGAGATGAGCATTTTGAGTCCCAGGAAATTTTAAAAAAATTTCTTATAGACTTACAGAGAATCTTCAGGGTTGCAATAAGACATGTTTTGTGATTTCCAACTCATCCGAAATCTTACTCCACTTGAATGCTTTTCTCAGGATGAATTCAGTTTGTTTAGCCTTTCTATCAGGTTCTTTGGACTTTTCTCTTTTCCATTCCTATCTTCCAGTAACATGTCTGTAATTCCATTGCAGAAAATAATAGAGGAGAAGAAGAACTACTTCTTGCTGAAGAATGAAGAGACTTCTGAAAAATACTGTCAGGATGAACTGAATTTGCTTTCAAAGACCCTAATGGAAAGCATTTTTGCAGGAACTTTCTCTGTTCCTGGAGGCCACAAGCTCTACATGAAAGCAAGGGAAAATGTTGAACAGGAGTACTTGCAAGTGCCCAGGAAAGGAGTCAAGGTGAGGAATATGGGGTCATGGGGAGCTTACAGAATAGTCCAGGATATCTTAAATCTGAGGACACAGCACTACTTGTGAGTGATAAGAAAGCATGATACCTTTATCTCCCTCCTTCTTCCTCAAAGCTGGAGATCGAAACCAGGGCTTTGTGCAATCTAGACAATCTAGCTCTACCACTGAGCTACTCTCTGACCCCACTTAGGCTTCTATTGCTTCCTATTTATTATATTTTMCTGAGATTGGAAGTGTTTATTTTGAAAGGTATTATGGATTCAGAAATTCAGGAAAGACAGAAAGAACTTATGAATTTCTTTATCCACATTACTTGAAATGTGCCAAGTTCTGCTGATTCCCAAGGTTCAGTCAGAGCCTTTGCTTCCAGGGCTGATCAACGTAAGAAAGAGTCAATTAAATGGACTATTACATATTGAGTGATATCACTTATGAGCCAGGGACAACAGGCTACATAGGTGGTGGCAGGAAACATAGTAATGGCACAACTAGCATTTCAAATTCTATTGACTATAGACATGGTGATATGTTCTTTCCTGAGAACTTTTAATTTAGTTCCCCAAACAACTTTATGGAATAACCTYTCCTAAGGTGGACATTTTACACATCTGAACTGAGCAGCCCAGCCAGATTTAATAACTAGTCCAAAGTTATAACCACCAGTGGTGGGAGAAAGCAGCAACATAGACCAGAGGCAGCACTTCACATTGGAAGACAAATATATGAAAGCATCAGAGACTGTTGTTTGTACAATGCCCATCTTTCAGAMTGGCTGGAGCTTAAAGCAGGTGGAGGGAAGGTGTTTGGGAGAGGGGCTGGAGGGGGCAGGAAGAGAGATAATGGAGGGTCTCAGGTTATACTTAGGAGCTTGGTCACTTAGAAGGGAGCCATTGTGGAATTTTATCCTTGAAGCCAAAATGATATGGACACATATGTGGGTTTTTTTGTTTGTTTTATTTTATTTTATTGTTTTGTTGAAGACTGTGGATTGAACTCAGGGGTGCTAAACAATCCTGAGTCACATCCCCCACCCTTTCCCTTTATTTTTAAATTTATTCCTAGTATCATTATTATTTTTGGTATTAGAGCTTGAACTCATGAGTATTTAACCACTGAGCCACATCCCCAGCCCTATTTTATTATTTTATTTACCTTGTTTCACTGAGTTACTTAGTGCCTAGTCTTTGCTGAAGTTGGCTTTGAACTTGTGATCCTCCTGCCTCCGCCTCTCAAGTCACTAGGATTACTGGTGGTGCTACCAGCTCAGCTATTTTTAAATTTTGAGCAAGAATCTTGCTAAGTTGCTTAGGGCCTTGCTATGTTTCTGAGGTTGGCTTGAACTTGCCATTCTCCTTTCTTATCCCCCGAAGTTGCTAGGATTACAGGTGTGCACCACTGCCTCTGGCTGATATATTGTTTTTACAGAAGTGGTCTCTCAGTGAAATATAAGTTCTTTCTTTCTCCTTGGCTTCATAGGCAGGTGATGTCTTCCAGAGGTTCCTGCAGTCACAGGCAGTAACAGAGAAATTCATCCTGCAGGCAGATAAAGCCCTCACTGATGGGGAAAAGGCCATTGCAGGTACAGGGGCATGACTCCACTCCCAGATGGTGGTTGGATTCCTGTAATGCCCTCCAACAGGTCTGTGAATCTGTGGAATGCATGCTCTGCTGAATGTGTGAAGAACAAGGGGTAGTGAAGGTCAGACTTCAGCCTGATGGGCAGGGTCTTTTCTATCAGTTTCTGAAATGTGCACTTGATGGTGTGGACTTGTGTGAATTCTGTGATTTCCTGCCTTTCCCTGCCTTTCAGATTTGGTTTGGTCTCTGAGCTCAGGAAATTATAGTATAGTTGCTGTTTCTTTCTTCCTTCTCTAAAACTTTCCTGTGACAGAGGAGCGGGCCAAGAAGGAGGCAGCTGAGAGGGAAGAGGAGCTTTCAAGACAGAAACTACAGGAACAACAGCAACAGATGGAGGCTCAAGAGAGGAGTTTCAAGGAAAACGTGGAGCAACTGAAAAAGAAGCTGGAGGAGGAGAGAGAAGAGCTCCTGAAAAACCAGAACACCATGTTGGAGCACCAGCTGAAGGTGGGTGATGCCCTGCTCAGTAGTTCTGATGGTCCTGGGGCCCCAGAAGGAATAGTGCAGATTACACTCAGCTCACAGAAGTAATAATATCACCATCTGTTGCTTATGATTTATTCTAAGTGTTAATATATATTTATTAACCCCCCTCCCCCTGCCCACAAACACTATTTTTTTCCCTTAAAATTTCTTTGAATTTTTTTCTCCTATTTGGGGTCTGGAGATCCAGGTCTTATGACTTATCAATCCTTGGAGATTACAAATTTATTTTAAGCTGCTGTTTTKGGAGATTTAAAGTGGTCTCACAAGTGTCAGGGTAAATAGATTTTTCCATTGAGTTGTAGTAAATATGAGCAGCGATTGRTTTGCATTCCCAAGACTCATATTATCAAGATACCTACTCATATCCCAAAAACCCTAGGTAGATTCATACCAATATAAAACTGTTAGAAATTTCTGAAATTAAAAGCACAGGGAAGTGACAGCTTCTAAGATTGCTACAATCTGCTCCAGGTTTGTATAGCTGCCTGAGCACACATATTGCATGGGAGGAAATCTTTCAGATTCCATCTAGATGTTATATGAGAACAGATTTCTAGATTAGCTGGTGAGTTCTCATCATCACTATAGTATTGAGACCATGCAACCCCAGTGGCACTGAGTGTATATTTGGTCAGACCAGTGGCTTTTCTTTTGGGAAGAATGTGAAGAAGTTTTTATCACCTTGGTTATCATAGCAGCAGAACTGTAATGGTAGGTTAATATTAAGCAAGTTGGAAACTATGTTTCCTTAATAGTGTCTAGGTCTATTCCAGATGGTAGTTTTTGTTACTAAATTATCTTAACAATAATGGAGAAAACATTCTAGGGATAAGAGATATTTTACAAAATTTTGACTAATTGTGATTCTTCAAGAATCAGAATTGTAAAATATTTAAATCCCTTCTAATGCRTATTTATTTATTTTAGATTCAAAAGGATTTGCTTGAGGAAGGATTTAGGAAGAAATCCAAGGAAATGAATGAAATAATTAATCAACTGAAAGAAAGAATTGAAGTTACAGAAAATGATAATACTCCCTGGATTGCAGGCGTGTTGGATGCATTTGGTGATAACCTGACTTCAGTATTGTCTGCTCCTGGTAAATATATTGGTAATCTTGTAAAAAAGTTTGCCTCCCTATTTAAAAAGGATTAGTTTATCCTTAAGAAATCTGTAGATTGTGGTGTATGCTTGGCCTGTTTTGATGTGCATGGTTTTCATTTTCATTCAGCAAAGTTTTAAACAAGATAAAAAGTACTTCGTAGAAGATATCAGTGCCTGTCCTATATTAGACAGACATATAGCATGCATACATTGGCAAATGATGTTCACTTTTAGGAAACACACACTTACAATATTATACATATGTAAGAGTCATTTGATGCATTGATTTTTAACAGCAAAAATTTGATAACTACATAAAATTGGTACCATAAATTTTCATATGTGCTGATATTGGAATAGCCATGAAACAAAATATCATGAAGTTCTCTATAGCTTAATATATAGTGATTCTAAAGATGTAATGTGAAGTTCAAACCATGTCTGAAACAGTGTATGTATTCTGATCACTATTAAAAATGCAATTACATGTAACCAATATATGTACAAAAATATTTTTTGAAATATTAATGAGAAACTAGTATCATTGGCCCCTTTGGGGGAGAGCTGGATGAAATCAGGAGYTGAAGAGACATGTACCTTTCATTATATATTCCATCTTTTGAAATTTGTAAAGAAAACTTGTATCTACTTATTTAGAAATAAATTAGAAACTTTAATTTCTTATACTAAAACTGATAACAATGAAAGTGAATTTGACTATTATATGATGAAATATGCTCATTATTTTAATAAATGGTAGCTCAATGATGGATGGGATGTAAAACTGCTATCTGAGTACTAGAAAGCAAAACATTTGCATCCTAATCTTATTTTCAATGTGGCCTTGTTTTATAATCCCTATATTTGTTTCATAATTGAGGTATAATTTTTCTGTGACTGTTGAAATATCAATTAAATCTTATCTCTGTTTCCTAATTCTGAGTTAATTTAAGTTGTGAAAAGCACAATGACCACATTTTCATAGTGTGCATGGGCTGGYTTTAGTGGTGCTCGCCTGTAATCTCAGTGGCTGGGGAGCATGAGGCAGGAAGATAGTGAGTTCAAAGCCAGCCTCAACAAGTTAATGATTCCCTAAGAAACTTAGCAAGATATTGTCAAAATAAAAAATAAATATGTTATGGAGATGTGGCTTAGTGGTAAAGCATCCCTGGGTTCAATCACTGGTACTGGAAAAAAGAGAAAAAAAAAAAAGAATGTGCATTGGTGGAAGAATCTTGGCTTCCCTGCAATTTTAGAGGTGCTCTCTGTGGTGAAAGGGCAGAGGGTACAATGTTTTTTTACAACTGGACCCGTTGGTGGGGAATGAGCCTGACACATGGAGGCCAGGTGTTGGCTTGCAATGAGCAGAATCCAAACAGATACAGGCATAGTAATGAGCTGCTGCTGGACCTGTCCAGAAAGATGGGAAATGGGGTCTCTTATGGTTTGGATATGAGGTGTCTCCCAAAAGCCTCTGTGTTAATGCAGGAATATTCACTGGTGAAGTGATTGGATTATGAGAGCTAAAACCCAATCAGTGGATTAATCTACCCAAACGACTAATACTTTGAAAGGACAACTGTACTGGGAGGTAACTAAACGCAGGTGGGTAGTGACTGTAGGAAGTACATCACTGGGGACAGGCCTTTGGTTTTTATATTTTGTACCTGGTGAGTAGCGCATACTGGCCCCCTTCCTTGCTGCCATGAAGTGAGCAGCTTTACTCCTTCATGTGTTTCCATCATGATGTTCTACCTCACTTCAGGCCCAGAGCAATAGAGTCAGCTGTCCATGAAGTGATCCCCTGAAACTGGGAACCCACATAAACTTTTCCTCCTCTAGGTTGTTCTTATCAGGTGTTTTTGTCACAATGAATAGAGTTGACTAACACAGAGTCACAAAGGATAGGGAGACAGCAATCAAAGGGAATGAAGAATGCTTTTCAGGTGAGAAGTCCAAGTAAAATTTCCCATGCTGATGCCTCAATCTGAGCTGATTTTACATCCCCCAAACCCATCAGTTGAGAGGAGAGCAGGACTCAGGCTAAAGCACCCTGCAACTCCAGGACAGGGATCAATGGTAATGATTTTCCCAGTTTTCCCCTTAGGGGACCTCTGACCTGTACTCAGTACCTCTGTACTGGGCAAACTGGAATGGCCAACCAACTATTACCATAGGCAGAAGTAAAGAGATCTCAAATAGAAAGTCTGAAGTCAAAGGAGAATTRAGAATCAAGATAGCAGTTTATATGTAAAATGATCAATAAATATTGATTGTGTGAAACTGCTGTAATCATGTACTTGATTAAAAAAGAGAGAAGCATTAACAAAAAATAATTAAGCCAACATGAGATACAAGTCAAATATTTTGAAGTCCTTATTTTGGAGGAAAATAAAGGTGAATAAATTTGAAGTTGATGATTTAAGGATGAATATTGTCACTTACAAGGTAATTAATTCAAGAATAGGGAAAGTTTTAAAATTTTGATACTAGGAGATGTACAAATTATTTTATATTTCAGTTGTGATAGTCAACCCAAAGTGACTCCATTTTGTTTAGTAACACTCCATTTTGTAAAACAACCTTGCCAAATAGAAAGGTCATGACTGGGGCAAGTTGTTATTTTCCTTTTGCAATAGAAACCCTTAAGAACACGGAACTACCTAATGGGGCATTGTTTCTGTAACTAGGATAATGCAGCTCTGTTTCTGTAACTGGGATGACTGGGCTAATTGTGATTGACTAAGTGTCCCACGGCCTGACTGCACTCTCCCGCTTCTGTAACTTGGCTTGCTTTCATTTGCTGGACCCCCAAAGTCCCTTTTGTGGTTTTCAGGCTTATAAGGAGCACCCTTGGAATTGTTTGGGGCTGATCAGGGGAACAGCTTTATGTTATGGTCAGTCACTACCGGTGTGTTTCAATAAAGGCTTGATTCGATTATACATGAATGGTCTGGAAGTCAATTTATGAAACTCTGGGACATTGCTTTAACTATAACACAGTAATTGAGTTAAAAAAATAACAGATCAAAATATCAATAAACTTAAGAGTATTTTGAAAATCATGATTAACAAGTATGGCCAAATATATTAATGTAATACTCAGCTCATTCTTTATAAACACACACGGAATAAAGAATAAAGTTTGTACAAGCCACAAAGCAGGATTTTGTCAGATTCTCTAGAGGCAAAGCTTCCAGAAGAGATTTTTGTCCAAGTGATTTATCAAGGGTGCCTTTAGTACAGTGAGATTGAGGGAGGCAGGGGAGAGCAGGAAAATAAAAACTAAGAAAAGATTTTGCCTCAAGTGAAACTAGCTTAGGGCTGAATTGTCCAAATGTTGCCTGAATTGGCTTCTTCTTAAGGTGCTGGATATCTGTACCCACCTTAGTCAGTCATCTTCAGTGGGCCATTCAGTTGGGAGAGGCTGTGTAAGCTCCCGGCAGAGCAGCTCCCATTTAGTCAAGGGAGTTTCTCTGGAGAAAGGGGCAGCTCTGAACCTTTATCAATGCAAACTCCCAGCTATAGAGTTATGGGTTCAGTGGTTTGGAAAAGGGGATTTGGGCGAGATTCTAGTGACAGCAGTAGTAAAAATAGCAACTGCACTACTGCATTGTGCAAGACCATGCAGGCCACACCTAATACTAAAAGGGTTCTGCATTCCAGCAGCCAGTGATCTAGACCCAGAATCTCATCTTAGCATCTTAGATTTCAGATCTTTCCTGTTACAATCCACTGCTGATTGGATCCTACAGGAAGCAAATCATGAGATACACATTTGCAGGAGTACTTCTGAAGTGAGCATTCATGCAAAGGTGTAGAAGAAGATGGCATTGTGAAGAAGAGGAGTTTAATTGTAATGCAGACTCAGTAATGGCTTCACTAAGTGCATTGGAAGGCTCTGGAGAGCAGAGGTTCTTATGGCAGTCAGAAAACTTGGAAAGAGAAGAGACGAGTCATCCTGAAGTCTGTGACTTTCTTCAGAAAGAGACTGAAAATAGAGTTTTTATTTTTATTTATTTTTGAGGAAACAGTATATATCAGAACCATAGAATATAAGATGGATAAAGAAGAAAATGGGAATATGGGTATGGTGAAAAGAGGGTGAGCAGTATGCATATAGACTTCATTTTTCTTATAATGGGAGACTTAAAAATTCCTTCTTAAAGACTTGTAAGAATGATGCCATGACCTCAGACCACCACGGGAGCCAATATCCAGCCCAGCACTTGTGGGACCCAGTCTCACAGTAGACCTGGGTCCACCCCTTCATCAGCAGGCACCTGTTGGAGCCTAACCTCTGGCATAGGACCTTCTCTTCCAACCAGCAGATTACCGAAGGAATTAGGCCAGGCCCAGATCTGTCCACACCRACTTGTGCAGGACCCAGGTCCAGGATGCAGTATCATCCTTTGAGGGACACCAGCAGGGTCTGGAAGCCCAACATCAAGGTGAGGCTCAGAAAATCTGCACAGGTACTACAAGAATATAGGATCCACACTGCAAGAAAGGAAGACACATAGACAACATGAAAAAACAAGGGAGGAAAGTGCCCCAAACAAACCCAGACACTATGGACAGTAAAGTTGATGAAATGTCAGAGAAGAAGTTCAGAAGTTTCATAATTAAAATGATCTGTAAATTAAAGAATAACCTAAATGAGCAAATACAGGCAAAGATTAATCACTCCAACAATGAGATAAGAGAGCAAATACAAGTAGCAAAAGATTACTTCAAGAGAGAGATGGAGACAGAAAAAAAAAAACAGTCAAAAATCCTTGAAATGAAGGATACAATAAATCAAATAAAAAACTCAATAGAAAGCATAACCAACAGACTAGATCACCTGGGAGAAAGAACGTCAGATAATGAAGACAAAGTATACAATCTGGAAAATAAAGTTAGTGAAACTAGTTAGAAACCATGAACAGAAAATTCAAGAATTATGGAACAGCATCAAAAGACTAAATCTAGGAGTTATTGGGATAGAGGAAGGCACAGAATTTCAAAGCAAAGGAATGCACAATCTCTTCAATGAGATAATATCAGAAAGTTTCCCAAGCATAAAGAATGAATTGGAAAACAAAATACAAGAGGCTTGCAGGACACCAAATGTACAAAATTACAACAGATCTACACCAAGGCACATTATAACGAAAATGATTAGCATATAGAATAAGGATAGAATCTTAAAAGCCACAAGAGAGAGGAATCAGATCACTTATAGGGGGAGACCAATTCATATTGCAGTGGATTTTTCAACCCAGACCCTCAAAGCCAGGAGATGGTTGAACAACATATTTGAAGCTCTGAAAGAAAATGGATGCCAACCAAGAATCTTATATACAGAAAAACTAAGCTTTAGGTTTGATGATAAAATAAAAACTTTCCATAAAAAACAAAAGTTAAAAGAATTTACAACCAGAAAGTCTGCACTACAGAACCTCCTCAACAAA